ACAGAGAGAGACACAGCGAGAGGGAACACAAGCAGGGGGGAGTGGGAGAGGGAGAAGCAGGCTTCCCGCCGAGCAGGGAGCCCGATGCGGGGCTCGATTCCCATTTCTTCTCTTGACTATGGATCTCAGTTTCCTGTTCTTCTCATTCCTGTAATTATTTTATTGTATTTTAGACATTGTGGGTGATATGGTACAGAGATTCTAGATTCTGTTTTCTTCTTCTGAAAAGTGTTGTTTTTGTTCTAGCAGGCAATTTGGCAGGACTCAAACTCCATCTGTTATGGTGGACAGCAGTTGAAGACTGCTTATTTCTTTCAGTTTCTTAGCTGTTTGTTTTCTGCTAGGCTCCTTTCTGCCAGAGTCTGTGATTGTAGATTTGTAGTTCAGGGATCAATCAAGGACTTGTCAGTATTTATATGCAGATTTTGGGGTTCCCCCTTCTGTGGTTTGCTTCTTTCTGTAATGTTCCTTCTCACTTTCCAGTCTCTCCAGAAGCCCTGAATTCTGTCCTATTCCTCAAACCTATTTCACTGTAGCTTTCCACTTGAGTTCTAGCTATCTCAGCTATTAGACTAGGAAATACCTTCAGGCAAAAAACCATATAGACACAAACCTCAACCAATGCAGTCTTTTTCTTTCAAGGGTCATTTTCCTTCTGATTTGTCTGCTTATGGTTACCTTCAAATAGTTGTTTTTTATGTTTTGTTGTGAACTCATAATCATTATCTGTAAGAGTTAGCCTTATACAATTACTCTTCCATTGCCAGAAGTAGAACCAGATGCAGAATACTTTTTTAAAACATAAAAAATAAAACATCAGTTCCACAAATTGTTACAAGCAAATTAATTAATTCAACAAGAATTTACCAGGCATTTACTTTGGGCTAGTTACTATGCTAATACCAGGTGCTAGAATTTGCGATCTAAGAATTGTATTTGATTTTAGTCCACTTGAATGGACCTGGTTTCTTAAATCTCAAAATAAAATGTTATTCAGAGATACTTGCGATCACTTCCCCCAAAATGAGTACATTAAACACACATTTACTTGTTCTGTCATGAATACTTTACCTTTATATGGTGCATTTTTTCAAGAAATTCAGATTTCTGAGGCCAGAAGCATTTGCAGTTAAGTTTAACAACACCAACAGTTGGTTACAGTTAAAAACCTCTCTCTCTGTTTTCATCTTATTTTTCCTTCCCTTCCCCTATGTCCATCTGCTTTGTTTCTTAAATTCTGCATATCAGTGAGATCATATAATTGTCTTTCTCTGATTGGCTTATTTCGCTTAGCATAATACCCTCTAGCTCCATCCATGTCATTGCAAATGGCAAGATTACATTCTTTTTGATGGCTGAGTAATATTCCATTGTATATATGTACCACATCTTCTTTATCCATTCATCTGTCAATGGATATCTGGGCTCTTTCCATAGCTAGGCTATTGTGGACATTGCTGCTATAAACAATTGGGGTGCAGGTGTCCCTTTGAATCACTATGTTTGTATCCTTTGGATGAATCCCTAGTAGTGCCATTGCTGTGTCATAGGGTAGCTCTGTTTTTAACTTTTTGAGGAGTCTCCATACTGTTTTCCAGAGTGGCTGCACCAGTTTGCATTCCCACCAACAGTGTAAGAGAGTTCCCCCTTCTCTACATCCTCACCATCTGTTGTTTTCTGAGTTGTTAATTTTATCCATTCTGACCATGTGAGGTGATACCTCATTGTGGTTTTGATTTGTAGGGCAGACCATAAGAAACTCTTAACTACAGGAAACAAACTGAGGGTTGCTGGAGAGGAGGTGGGTGGGGGGGTAGAGATAATTGGTGATGGGCATTAAGGAGGGCACTTGATAGAATGAGCACTGGGTGTTATATGCAACTGATAAATCACTAAATTCTACCCCTGAAACTAGGAAAAAAACAAAACAAAACAAAACCCAACTTTCTTCAGCTAGTTTGAAATGTGTCAAAATGTTTTTCATAAAAATCCCTGTGGTGGAGCCACTCTTTCCTCACAGCGAAACCTCTGACCTTCGAAACTAGAAACATCAAAAATAAAAGTGAACAACACAGAGGGCCCTCAGCATCAAATTGGGGGCTAGACTACTACCCATAAGCCTGGACAGTGAGCAGCCTCCCTTGGATTTATCTCCCCTTCCTACCTAGAATGTGGGATGTTACTAATCTATATAATCAGCTTTCATTTTTTACTATATCTGAATAAAATAAAGGTGGAGAATACATCAGTATGAAATCCGATGCTAAATGCTCCTCATTTATTTTGGGGTGAGGGTCAAGGACAGGAGGATGAGCTGCTGCTGAGTTTCCACATGGCCTCAGGAGTTCGTAGGGCTTACCCCCTTGGTTCTGGAGCCTCTTGCCTCATCCTTACTCTCACATCCTCATTCAAGACTGTGCTGTGCATAGACTTGCAGGAGGCTGAAGAGGGACAAGAAGAGGGGTAGGAAAATTTTCTTGCTTTATAGTTTTGTATAGGTTCAGCTCTGGCTTTAGTGGGGCGGGGGGTGGGGGGATCCACCAGGAAACAGATTTAAGACTAAGCTCGAGTTCCCACTCTGGGATCCTCACAGTTTTACATAGGCTGGAGGTGAGCCAAGTGTCCTTTCTATTTCCATTTGGTTTTTCGGCCCCTATTCCTGTTCTGATTCTACTAGACTAGCATAGCCTCTAGAAGATCACAAGCAGCTAGCACAGTCTATACACCACAACTGCTTGTTGAACTAAGGACTTGGCTCCATAGAATATACTTTTGTCCCTCCCCCCTTTAATTATATTTTCTAAGTTAAATGTATTCTCATCTTAATCATGGAAATGACTTCTATTATGGTAATTTTATCTATTTCTCCTCCATCCTTAAAATAGTTCTGACATTACAGCAATGCAACTCTGCATTTCATTTATGAATCATAAATAATTCCACCTGAATAGGTCAATAGCAAACACCTGTGCCCTCTGGAGGCTCACGTCTTCCCTTAGGGCAGCCAGCTGGCGTTAGCTAAACGCCCACTGATTTACCACGATGGAGCTGTGTGCCCACAGCGAGGCTGACCAGTGCTTACTGCTGAAGATCTGCGTTAACAAGAGAAGAAACGAGGAAAAGGAGAACACAAGTGTTAGTTACCAGTTTATTAGTCATTCCAGTTTTCTTCCAAAGAAAACAGTTCCACTGAACCCTTGGATGGGTGGGGTGGGGGGGCAGAGGCGGAACAATCAGCTGGTGTGGGCTTTGAAGTGTGGCTGCAGGGCTTCCAGCCCTTTCCCAGCTCAGCTGTTGAAGCAGGGCAGCAACTTCAAAGGCGGACTTGCTGTTGTTCCTGCCAGGGGTGGGGGGTGATTCCCATCAGTTGGCTTTAGAGAAAAGATGAGGAGGAATTCATCCTCTTCCTTGCCAAGGTTTGATGCTCACCAAACGATCTACCAGCTTTTGGTTCTGACTGTCTCTATCTAGTGGGTGCAGATCAACAACAACCGCAGTCAATTTCTTTGGGATTTACATTTATTTATGTACACTATTTTTACAAATCATCTGAGATGGCCAGTTTTGTAATTTGTCCAGATTGTGCAACACGTCAGTGATACAAGGAAACTGCTCTGATTACATTTTCTGCTCAAAGACATATAAAGTGGCTTTCCTAAGAGCAAAGCAGAGTTTAAGAAGATTGCCCCCTTGCTGCCCTACAACCCCCTGCCCGTAATTATAACTGTTTACATCCTAAAGTCAGTTTTTCATTCTGTGTATTGGTAGTGCATTCAGACTCTTCTGTGAGTCAAGAAAGAGTTATTCCCTTTAGTCAACAATTCACCTTGTACAAGAAAGACATTTTTGAATAATATAATTAAATTAAAAGCAAATGTAATTTCCCTCAATAATTTTATTTGGTCTAAACCTTTCCATTTAAAATTTATGTTCTTTACTTCAAATTATAAAGGGAAAAGGAAACAATCCTTGAAATATTAACTTTTTTTTTAAAGATTTTATTTTTTATTTATTTGACAGAGAGACACGCAGCAAAAGAGGGAACACAAGCAGGGGGACTGGGAGAGGGAGAAGCAGACTCGCCGCTGAGCAGGGAGCCCGATGCAGGGCTCAATCCCAGGACCCTGGGATCATGACCTGAGCCGAAGGCAGATGCTTAGCTGACTGAGCCACTCAGGCGCCCCTAACTCTAACTCTTAAAATTAAGAATAGCTTTGATTCAAAAACTAATTCTTGGACAGTGATGTGGACAGGTAAATTTCCCTGCCACTACCTCCCACTAACTTTTATTTAAATAAATATGAAAAATTAGGTAAAAACATTTCAATGTACGGTACAAGATATGAGAGTCTTCAGGGAAGTTTATTATGCTAGAAAAGTGTAAGTAACCAGTCACATTAAACGAGAGTTACATGACCAAAAAAGCAAGTTGCCAACACTAGTAGAGAGGTGCCCATTTATTCAGCAGCATGGTTCCAGCATGGCTCTAGCATGGTCCAAAGAAGACTGTTCTGGTGGGAATGAAATTGTGGGATTAAAAAAAAAAAGCAAACAAACTCCTGGGAACACAATGAAGGGAAAACATTCCAATCACAGAAAGCTTCCACAATTAGCAGATGGGCATGCTTCATGAAGAGAGTAGAAAAGACAGTCTCCTGTGCAAGTTCGGAAGAAGCAAAGATCGTTAATTCAATTAAAGTGCGGTGACGACAGCAGGGAGAACACAAATCCGTCCACTATCCATATTACATTCATCACAGAATACAACTGAAGAGGATTATGTTCTTCCAATGATGGGATTTTTACTTTTTTTTTAAAGATTTTATTTATTTATTTGACAGAGAGAGACACAGTGAGAGAGGGAACACAAGCAGGGGGAGTGGGAGGGGGAGAAGCAGGCTTCCCGCCGAGCAGGGAGCCCGATGCGGGGCTCGATCCCAGGACCGTGGGATCAAGACCTGAGCTGAAGGCAAATGCTTAACAACTGAGCCACCCAGGTGCCCCGGGATTTTTACTTTTTAATTTTGCAAAAATGTTTAAACCAAAGTGGCATAATCTCCAGAGTCTCACTTCCAAAGATGTATTTTTATTCCTGACTGATTGTATCCTGAAGAAATCAAAGGTCTTCACAAGGTAAAATCACCATCTCTGGTTATATTCTATCTTTCTAAGTATGTGCAGACTCTCTGCGTCCAGGTATTTTGACTGCTCCCCCCCCTTTTTTTTGTATAATAAATGACTTGGAGATGTAATTTTAAAAAGCAAAACAAAACAAAAAACTGGGAAAAATGACAAGTAAAATGATTTTAGGGACATAGGGTTTAAAAAGAAAATGCTGTTCATGGATTTAGTATATTTAGGAGCTTACTACCACACTGCTGAACCATTATTTAATGTTGTTCATTTTCTGTGATTTTATTCCAACGAGAGTTGCACACTGTCAGCTTGGTTTTGTGGCTGTTGATAGTCATACTTCCTTGCTATTAAAAAACAAAACAAAACACAACAAAAGAAAGAGATAAAATTAATAAAAATAGCAAAATAATTATTAGCTAACATCATTAAATTGCAGTCAAGTCATGATTCTCAGTAAAGAATTAGCTTAGAATTAAATATTTTTTTTCATTAGAGGAAATTTATTATACTTTGTAATCCTTAATTTCTCAACACTGCTGATATCCATTTTTATATATTTACTTTATTATTATTATTTGTATATCAGGATTATTCAGAGCTTTAAACTATAAGGTAACCATTAATTAAGCTATTAAAGTTAATTAATATTTTTAAAAAAGATTTTACTTGTTTATTTATTTGAGAGAGAGCATGTGTGCACGAGTTGGGGGAGGGAGGGGGAGGAGCAGAGGGAGAGGGACAAGCAGACTCTGCGCTGAGTGTGGAGCTGGATGCGGGGCTTGATCTCACAACCCTGAGATCATGACCTGAGGCAAAATCAAGTCAGATGCTTAGCGACTGAGCCATCCAGGCGCCCCAAGTTAAATTAGCATTTTATAATTTCCTTCTTTCTTATCTCCCACTTCCACCTTAAGATAAGTTAGTAGTAATGCTTTTGTCCGCATAAGGAATTTGTATTTCAACTTTTAAGTCTAAGAGACTTATTATTGAACATTGTCAGTGATATAAACTAGAAGAAAAACAGATACTCATTCTGTATTTTTTTTGTACTTCTGAGAAATGTTTGTTGAAGAAGAATGGTTTTAACCTGCAACTAGAGAAAGTATGGAGTTAAAATCTTTGTGAATATCATTCCTTGCCTAGAGTTAAAACTTTCACTCTGTTCTTTAAGTTTTAACTAGCCAAGAAAGAGATACTATTTATTTATGCTACTCAGGGTGCATCCAAATTTTTGTGGCCTAAAGTTTATACAATTTTGGGAGTCCTCTTTAAGAAAAAGAATTTTGTTATTTCCTCTTGAACCGCCAGACTGTCAGGACTATATAGGTCACAAACACTAAGAATGATCCAATGTGATGGGATTCATTAAATGTGCAAGTCCACACATATACTATTTATAAGAAAAATGGCTTCTAAAGATGTTTGCATCCTAGTCCCCAACATCTGTGAATATGTTACTTAACAGGACAAACAGGACTTTGAAGATGTGATTAAGGTAAGGATCTTGCGAGGGGGAGATTACCCTGTATTATCTGGCCCAACCTAAACACATGGGCCTTAAAAATCAGACACCCTTTCCTTAGTGCAGAGAAAGACTAAGAAATAAAAAAGGAAGAATGATCAGAAAGATTAAATGCTGCTGGCTCCCAAGATGGAGGCAGAGGGCCATAAACCAAGCAATGTGGTGGCCTCTAGAAGCTGGAAAAGGCAAAGTTACAGACTCTCTTCTAGAACCTCCAGAAAGAGTACCCTACTGACACCTTGGTTTCAGACTGTTGTAGAACTTTTCCGCTACAAAACTGTAAGATCGTACATTTGCGTTGTTTTAAGCCACAAGATTTGTAGTAACTTGTTACAGCAGCAGTAGAAAATCAACACACCTTACAAACACAGGAAATCTGATAAAAATGATATATTTTATGGCATTGCCATCAAAGAAGAAAAAAACCTGTACACTTGGTTTGTAATAGTATATGTATGTTACTGAGTGTATTACTGATAGGAAATAGCTTTGTTTTGACTGGGCATCCATGGAAACTTAATTCTTTATAATTTTCCATATAGAACTTCTGACTCTGTACTTTCGTTTTTTAGTATTTAAGTTTTTTTAAAGAACTTTTTTTATCGTGGTTAAGTATACACAAATATTACCATTTTAACTATTTCTCAGTGCACAGTTCATAGTGCTTTGCAACCCTCACATCCTCCATCCACAGAGCTCTTCCGATCATCCCAAACTGAACTCCACACCTATTAAACAATCACTCCCCACTCCCTCTGGCAACCATCATTCTACTTTCTGTCTCTGCAAATTTGCCTCCTATAAGTAAAATATGTGTTCTTTTGTGACTGGTTTATTTGCCTTCATAAGAATAATTATGAAGCATAATGTCCTCGGGTTCATCTGTGCTGTAGCATGTGTCAGAATTTCCTTCCTCCTAAAGACTGAATAACATCCTATTGTATTTCTCTACCACATTTTGTGTATCTGTCAAGGACACTTGGGTTGTTTCCGCCTTTTGGCTATTGTGAATAATGCTGCTATGTTAAATTTTACTTCTTATTTTGAACTGGTAACATATGCAGATGGTACAAAATGCAAAAGGAACAAAGAAGTGTATCTTCCTCCTACCTGATCAATCCTGCAGCTACCCACCCACTTCCTTCCCCTAAAGGAACTGCTCTCACTAGTTGAGATAAAATTTGTGCTTAAGACTTCAGAGGTTCTACTTGTGTTTATGCGTATACACACACACAGACACACACACACACTTTTCTATTTTTCACCTGAAATTCTATTCCACCCAAGACATATACTAGTGATATCTCGGTGATCATCCTTTCTTGCTTCTTTTTTTTTTAAATTTAATTTTATTATGTTATGTTAGTCATCATACATCATTAGTTTTTGATGTAGTGATCCACGATTCACTGTTTTCGTATAACACCCAGTGCTCCATGCAGTATGTGCCCTCCTTAATACCCATCACTGGGCTAACCCATCCCCCCATCCCCCTCTTGCTTCTTTCTATGCACACACACACCTGAGTTTTTACTGTAGACATCTTTAAAAAATGTCCAGTCTTTTCCCCTTAAATCCCACACAATCCCATCAAGGTAATGAATGTTAATAATCTGATGCATATCTTTCCAAGCCTTCCTCCATGCTTGCATAATTATATAGAACATTTATATTACACATAGATAACACAACGGATATTTTGGTCATTCGATTTTATAAGAGTAGCATCCTGGTATATATACTATTTTATCTTGCTCTTCTCACTTAATAATACACCTTGGAAACCACAATTCATTCTTTTTTTTTTTTTAATTTTTAATTTTTTAGAAAGATTTTTATTTATTTACTTGAGAGAGAACACGCATGAGCAGGGAAAGAGGCAGAGGGAGAGGGAGAAGCAGACTCTCCACTGAGCAGGGAGCCCGATGTGGGGCTCGATCCCAGAACCCTGAGAATGACCTGAGCTGAAGGCAGACGCTTATCCGACTGAGCCATCTAGGTGCCCAACCACAACTCATTCTTTTAAATGGTAGCATAAAAGGCTGTGGCTTAGATGTACAATTCATTCTGGCTCCATACATTTTAAACTTTATTTCTTTTCACTGACATACATACTCATAGTGTTCAGTACTATATGACATATTAATATTGAGACATGAACTCTGGCCTTGCACATTGATATCGCATGCCATATTCCTGAAAGCTGTTGGGTTTTTCGTTCGTTTGTTTGTTTGTTTTTTAAGTAGGCTTTTTTTTTTTTAAACAGGGGAAAGCGCGAACGCAGTCCCCCACTACCACAAATTATGCAGTCGAGTTTCCCACATTTGGGGAAATCGCAGAGGTCAGCACATCCGGAGTGCAATGGATAAGCCTCGCCCTGGGAAAACCACCTTCGTGAACATGGTATCTCCCCTGTCAGGTAAGTAGGCTTCATGCCTAGCATGGAGCTCAAGGCAAGGCTTGAACTCATGATCCTGAGATCAAGACCTGAGCTGAGATCAAGAGTGGGATGCTTAACAGTCTGAGCCACCCAGTTGCCCCTGGAAGTCATTCTTATTTTGCTTTGGCTTGCAGTAATTTAGTTATAATAGAAATGACTGCAAACTCCATAAATACAAAATTCAAACCCAAACTAAATGCAGCTCCAACTCAACCTCAGCCAGATCCCCAAATGCTCTTGGTCACTTCAATGCTACTCCACATGAAGGGATGTGCAGAAGAGGGCAAATTAGAAGAGATAGCAATCTTAACTGATGGTTAAAATATTGAAATTGTGCAAAATTTAGAAAAATATCATCATATGAACACATTTCTAGGGCTGTTCTCAGGGTCCTGGAAGGGCCCCGTACAAGCAAAGGGTCTGGAAGCTTCAACTTCACAGCAGATCTGCCTTTGCTAATACTGTGCTGAGCATCTAAAAAGGGCATTACGTTTTCATTACGAATTATTTCTGATAACCGTTTGCTAATCGAACTCAATTCCAAAAAATCTATTTTAAACATGCCTCCATTCAACACAGAATATACTTACAAATGGAATACATTTCCAGTTGCTGTCTTAAACGGATTTTGCTTATTGTGTCATAAAAGCTGGGCTCTGATAAAGTTTCTGCTGTAGGTGGCACACTGAATATCCTCATAATTTTTCTTTTATTCCTAAAACATAAAACCAATATGTAAGGGAGATTTATATTAATAGCTACAGGACCGTACTGGACTCAGGACCATAGTAATCAGAAGCTACATTAAAAGGACTTAAGTAACAATGAGCTCATCTTCTCTTTTGTCTCTGTTGGATGCTTCCTTGCCTCAAGTGTTCTTCCCTTCACTAAAAAGTATGAAGCTGTCTGTGTACGGCCACAGGGCTCGAAGAAAGTGAAGAAAGCTGAGCACAGCCACTTCATACAACAAAGTGACGTACCTCTGCTGTGCTTCCACTCCTGTCCCCCTCCAAAAGTCTTATATGGCAAAATGCACCAACTAGAAAACATCTTTTTCTCCTCCCTCTGGTGTCATCCAAATAAAGCTAAATTACTGGGTTAGAGAATAAACAGAATGCGAGTGGACCTTCATTTTGGAAAATAATGAATCACCACATTTCTTAAATACAATAGCATGGCCTTAGTGGGTTCATCTACTTAAAATCAACAACAGTGTCTCTCTGTTTTTAAAACAGGATGGTGGGGAGGAGGTGGGGGCTGTTTTTGGAGGAAAGCTGTTACCTGTGGAGCCTTCTCTCAGCCACTCCTGAGGCCAGGCTGCCAATGGGCCAGCTGCTCTGGGGCTCATGCGGCCTAGAAGGGCAAACCTGCCTGTCTGAGAGCAGGTGCTCCCCGGGCAAACATCAATTATTTCTCAATTACTAATTACTCTGATCTATGTAATGCTTTTCTAACCTTGGTAGAGAATACCAAGAAGCATGTGGCTATAAGGAGAGGCGACTTGGTCCAACTAATACCGTTTTTCCTCCTCAAAGCACCCACCTCTCTCTCTATATATATTTAAAAGAAAGGAGCCAGGGAGTATGGAAAAGAATAAAATATGCTACAACATCTGGAATTAGAGCAGGAAATATTTATTGAGGATTTACCCTATGTGGCACACCAGGGACACAAAGGTTAAGGGTCAAAGTCCTTGTTCTGAAGGGACTGGAGTTTTTGTGGAACAGACAGACAAGTCGTCAGATAATACCATTATTATTCAGTAAGTGCTATGATACGGTTGTGTCCAAGAATCAGAAGGGAAAACTTAAAATGTGTGAAGAGAGAATTGCTAAAGACATAGGGATTAGGGTTTCTGCATTTCAGGGACACAGGCCAAAGAAATACGCTCATCCAAGAGTGACAGTGAACCCAGGCTGGATGACCAAACTGAGCTGTATTAGAAATGATAGAATGGGAAGGCAAAGCCAGTCAGGGTGCCCAGAGCTGCACTTAAATCTCCAGCTCTTAAAGCAATGGGCTCTTCAAAGCCAAACCGGCATCCAGGGCTCGAGAACAGACCTGAGGAGACAGTGCTTTCCTAGCAGGAACAAAAATGCTTATGAAATTATTTGTGTGCATTTAATTCGGAACAAACAAACAAACAAACGTGTCAACTTTTGAAATACTAAAAACTTTACCTCTTGGTTCCGGACTTCCAGCTCTATTACAAAGCTGTCATCATCAAGACAGCATGGTACTGGCACAAAAACAGACACATAGATCAATGGAACAGAATAGAG